CTACCATTCTGCAGGGCCAGGCTTCAAGCCCGGTTCAACCCAACATCAAAAAATAAAAATAAAGTATTTTCTAATAGCGCTCACCTTTCGGATGGCAATAGCAAACCTCCGAGTGTATTTCTGCCATGAAAAACAGCTTCCCATCAAAATACAATCGTCGTTCGGAGTCGGGTAAAACTGTAGGTCCCAATCAACCCAAAAAACCGCAAAAGCAGTCTAAAAAAATTCTCAAAACGCGATTTTAAATCTTGCCGCGCCGGTTAAAGCTTGCACTTCATTAGACTAAAATTGTGTGGGCTATAAAACTGCGTACCCAAGAATATTCAAATTAAAAAGTTGAAATTTTGATGAAAATTTGTTGAATTTTCCTAAATTTTGTATAAAATTTGGAACTTTGATTTATATTTTTTTGGGTTAAAGCTTAGACGGTTGTTTGATAGAAAAATAACAAAAAATATTTACCGCGAAAAACAATTCGAATATTTAAAAAAAAATCAACTCGTGGTCATTTGTTTGATTCACTGTATGTGATAAAGGCTATTTACATGAAAATCAATTTATATAAATAAATTTCAATTTGAACAATCAAAAAGCTTGAAATTTTAATGAAGCTTTGTTAATTTTTTTATTTTGTACAAAGTTTCTAATTTGAATTTAAATGGTTTTATCTATATAATGATCTGTGTTATTATAAAATTATAAATTGAATTAATTTGAAAAAAAAAATTATTCGTCTAAACGTATCAATATTTGGGTGACCTTATACATATGATGTCCCGCACCATATGTGAAAAAAATATTCTGTCCCGATAACTGTTCTAAAGACCTTAAAAATAATTCAAGAGCATCCGACTCCATGCCGCCTTTATCACTGGGAGAAACGACTGTCCAATACGAAGACTTTGCGTCGTTATCCCTTCTTTTATAACTCCTGTTGTACGAATCGGTGAATTATTTTGCCGAAATATTTAAAAAAAAAGTCCGAGAATAAAGGTATCTTTAACTTTTTTTTTGCTGTAACTTTTGTCCGCCGAAAGTAGGGGTGAAGGTTGAGATCTAATTTTAAATACATCTTAAAAAGGAACCCTATTCATTTTTTTTATCTTCATTCGTTAAAAGTAAGCAAGCTCCTTTCTGTTGGAAACAAATAAAACTTTGATACCAGGAGCTTTGCAAAATGTACTTCTGCACCCGATCCACCCATCACTTTAGCATATTATCTGCGGTACGGAAAATTTCCTATCTTAAAGCAGCTAAATACATACATAGCTACTTATTCGCAATATGGTAAAAATGCCAAAAAAAATCTTCAAATTGACTGGCAACAGCAATTAAGCGTTGACTAAATAATATTTGCAGTCAAATCATTTTGCGCTTCCATTGCTAATGAGAGTGAAATATTTTTATGATGGTGAGAAATACAAAAAAAAAAAATATAAGAATGCACCAATACATATATAATAATGTTTATAATATAAAGGCCTATATATGTATGTACATAAGTATGCACTTTAGGGTGGCAATTGTGTTATATACACACATACTATTTATTTCAACAGTGTTAAGTCCACCACGATTTTTTCTAGCTGCCATTAATTGAAATATGCTATGTAAGGAAATGGATAAGAAGCGAGAGCTAAGCTCAGCGGGCATCAATGAAGCGGGTTCGATGCCTTTTAAAATCTAGAAAAGAAGTCTCTCGAGGAGATCTGGTGGTCTCCAAAATAGCAGCATTAAATTCTACCGCTTAAACTTTGTTGCTTTAATTGTATTAAATGCCCTAAAGCAAACTATTCAACTGACTGCAATTTTTCGTAAAAACATTTACACACAAATAGCCCATACTAAATAAATGCTTTCCAAAAATAATTTAGGAAGGTCTTCTTAAGTTCAGCCATTCTAAAAGAAGTATAATTTTTAATGAATTAAAGCAGCAGTTTTAGAAGAACTTCTCTAAAGTGCCTTCTGAAGTGCGCCCTACAAAAACAAAAGCCCTTGAAGCACTTTATGGGTAGCGAAAGCCACTCCATCCACAAAAGAACGGAGAAAGGAGTAAAGAGTGGCAGCCCTTTTAACTCTCTGGAAGGCCTTATGGAACGCCTTTTAGCTATTTAAATTATCTATTTGCGACAGTTGATTAAAGAAAAAATAAAAAATTCACGGACATAAGTGAGAATCCCAATTTTTTTCATTAGGGTGGTCCTTAAATTTTCAACATAATAGGCGCTTTTATTTTGTTCTACGGGCAAAATTACGGCATCCACGAAAATTTCAAAATTTACAAAAGAATTACCAGAGCTTAAAAAATTTAGTTTTTTTTATTTAAACACAAAAATTCGACAAAATTTTTACTCAGCGAGTTTATGAATTTATATGAATAAGTTTCAATAATGTGTCAAATTTATCACGTTTCAAGTAAAAAATTTCACGTATTTTTGGAATTTAAAAATTTAAATTTTTTTAAACCCTGGCACGGACACCTACATACAAAAATTAACATTTTAAGACCGCCCTTATGTACATATGACATTTTTTTATAACCGATATTTACAAAACTCGTTCATTTTTTCTGCAAACTCTGAAAATTTCAAGTCCTTTGACAAAGTATTTTTATTCTTAATTAGTATTCAAAACCTCAACCTTACTAAAAAATATTTCGAAAATGACGTTTACAGGATATTGAGGGTTATCTATTCCAAAAAATAAATATGGTTATCTCGATATCCGTTCGGGAATTCTCCCCCATATTGTATAATGCGTTCAAAAGTATTTAATATATTTCGTTTTCAATTTCTAACAAGTAAGAAAGTCTAAGTTCGAGCGGAGCCGAACATTAAATACCCGGCGCAGGTACCGCTACATGGTAAGCCGGTGTGTATCAATTTTGAGTAAATTAGCGTCCTTAATTTCGAAATATTGAAGTTTCAAGCCTTTCTGAAATTTGCCGTTATATGAAAAGTGGTCGTAATTTTAATCTGATTCTAATAATTTTCAACGTTTTGCTTCTATGTCGCAAGCACAATAATCGTACCGAGTTTGGTACAAATTGGTAGAACGGTTACCGAGATACATATATGTGATCATAAGTGGGCGGTGCCACGCCCATTTTCCAAAATTGTATCATAAACGTATTTCTTGGTAAAGAATTGTTGCAAGCATCAATTTTGAGTAAATTAGCCCTAATATTTACAGATTTATCGAAGATTTCGTATTTCTCCAAATTACCGTTATATGGGAGGTAGGCGTGGTTATTGTCCGATTTTACCTATTTTTAATACCATCCGTCCTACGCCCGAAAGAAGTGCACATACAAAGTTTCGTTAAGATAACTCAATTTTTACTCGAGTTATCGTGTGCACAGACGGACGGACGGACGGACGGACAGACAGACAGTCACCGCTTAATCGATTTCTCTTTTCATTCTGATCATTTATGTATACATTTGTCTATATCTATCTCGATTCGTTTTGCCTGTTACAAACAACCGTTATGTGAACAAAGTTATAATACCCTTGTGCACAAGTGCGCTCGGGTATAAAAACGTTGTCGTAAATTTTTTAAACTTTAAATTTTTTGAAAAATTTTGGAAAATGAGTTTTTTAATTAAGAATTTGACCATCTGTAGAGGTATTCAATAATAATTTTAAAAACTTGGCATATGCAGATGCTTTAAGTAAACTTTCTCTTATTATATAAGGGTGGTCCAGTTCCCGAAACACACTGAATTGAAGCTAAATAAAAATTTTTGTGAGTTTAATAAAATTAACTAATTTGTGATAACTTTAGTGAAGCAGTAATTCTTTTGTGAGCCATGCTAATGTACATACTTACATATGTATGTACATAGTACATAAATATGTAATAAGAATGTGTTAACATAATGTTTTATTTACATGCATTCAGTTGCATTGTCTGACCACCAAAATTTTATTGTTTTATTTTTCAATAAATAAATATATTTTTTCGCAATTTCTTCTTTTACGTTTTTTTTCCTTCCTCTTGTACGAGTATGTCTTCTATACTCACTGGTCAATTTTATTTACTTGTACTTGGTAATTGTCATAGGTATGTATGTAAATTTGTAAAAACATTCATATGTACGAGTATATTAGGCATCATTCATTGCAGAATCTGAATTTTTAATTTTTCTTGTGCGCTTTCTTCATTTAAATGAATTCACACAAAACAAAATGTTCGACATCTATTTCGGTGTATTAGCTATTTTTAGCTGCCGTGCCCAGATATCAAACACACATACTATGTGCATCCATTTGCTTGACGCTCAGCGCTTCGCACATTTCATCCGTAGGAAATATATGTACATATCGTCGATGTTTTTGCAAAACCGCCCATCGACCAGTTACAAAACCGCCTAAATCGCCATTGTGGCAAAAATGAGATTTGGTAACCCTGAACTCCAGGTATCGATATTTATGCATAAAAATCATTACATCGTTATTAAAACTACAGATTTGTAAAATAATAGCTAGAGAAAATACCGCATATTAAGGCAATGCCTTCAAAGATTTTTCACTCTCCTGTAAAATTTGAGTGCGATGGGCGGTTTTGCAAAAACCTCGACGATATGTTTGTATGTGTCGTGTCGCTAAGATACAAGAGACCAATTGCCAAAGAAATCAACGAAAATCTGCACAACATAAGAGCGATCGTAGCAAATCTAGCATTGCTCATAAATTCATTCGTTAAAGTTCGGCACACGCATTATTGCATTGTCTGCCTTTCGGCATTTTCTCATTTTCCAAAGATTTCCACACCAGCAAAGTATAGGTGAGTGAGTCGGCTTACATACTACGTACCAACAATTGCACATGAAAATGTGGATTGTGAGAGACGGCGAAGAAAATTCGTTTTCGCCTCAACATAAAAAGCTGCATTCGGCTCATACACGAATATTTCTGCATCTTTTCCTTTTTTTTTAAGCGATCGTTGCGACGCTGTTGGCTATTGTTGGCCAAGCCTACGCAAGAAAAATGATCTGTTGAGCGAATTTCGACCAAAATATAGTCTGCCGTGGATCGCCGGACCATTCAGTCTTTTCCCGTTCGACTAGTGTTCTCCGATCTGTGAGGTTGCTCGCACACCTATTTTTTAATTCCTTTAAGGTGAGTGCTGCCAGCTAATGCTGAAAAGGAGTGTGACAGGTGCAAATGCTGGAATCTGCATATTTGTTTTTTTTTTGTTTTTTTGTTTGTTTTTTTGTTGGTGTGGCAATGCAAATAAAAAAAACTTTTAACGAATATCAAATGGAAAACGACTTTTATATTGAATGAAAAATATAATAAATGCAATAATGCACAGTAACGCCCAATTGCAATGCGTTTTTGATTACGTGAAGTGAAGACTGATAATTAAAAATCATAGAACGATGAAATTGAAATTAAACTAAAAAAATATATGTAATTAGTGTATAATAATATTAAGTGCATGGTATCCGCGTACAACGATGTGCGTATATTATATAGCAATTACATAAGCCTTGTTCGGTATGCAGATATACGCAAATACCTATACATACTAATTTGCGGATCGGTTACCTTACGGTGAAGGATATGCGCGCCTACTACATGCACGTCACTGCACGTATATGTACATACATACATGCACAAGTTGTTGTTTTTTTATTTGAATGCTTATACTATATACATATTTAAATATATCATCCACACATACATACATACATACATATAGACATTCATACATACCTTAACTCATACTCACCTAGCGCACGCAAGTAATAGTGGGAATCAACCAAAAAAACAAATTAAGAAAGCAAAATAAAGTTTCTTTAAAAAAATTAAATTCTTCATCGCTTAAGTAAACGCAAGCCAGCAATAGCAAAGAAATAGTATGTATGTATGCACATATGTATATGCTGTTGTGTGTTAAGTTTAGCTGAAAATAGAAAATTTCTCTACATGCCAGAAAAGTGGCTGAAAGCAACAATATTTCGAAAGACGAAAAGTGATCGAATGTGTGTGCCAGCGATGCATACTCAGCGGATGTGAGGAAAAATTGAGAAGTTTAAATGTTTTTCAAATTAACACACATTATTTGAATGGGTTCATTATCAAAAAGGAATAAGTCAAAACTTTCCCCTATGAAAAATGTTGAGTTATTCCCCTTAGCATTTAACCGATTAACTTAAAAATATATTGCTGATCCAACTCCTCAATACCTTAAATTTCAATATTTGCCTGGAAACATAGGAAGCACACAGAATATCACATTAGTTGGCACAAGAAATCATAAAAAAATAGATTTAAAACCGATTTTCACTTTCCCCATAAAAAGAAATTTTTAAAATATTGTTGCTTCATTCGGCAACGTATGTGACCTTCAAGATCAAAACAAGTTTGGTAGAGTGGATGTTCATTTATGTTACTCTACCCTAGCAATGTGACCAAAATCGCCTTCATACAGAAATTTTTCTCAATCGGCTTTGAAATAAATAGGTCCTCTTACAGCCAGTTTGAAAGTGAAAAATTATTTTTTTCTGTCAGTTTCCGTATTAAATTCAAGTAAAAAAAATCATATGTCACTTCAATTGCTTTCGTGAAACTGGCTATTAGTTATGGAAATTTTGCTATTTTGCTATTTTGACATCTAATGACCGCCTAAGCCCCTTTGACTTACTTTGCTTTGTGACTGAGGGTTCGACCAAAAGAGATGGCAGTATAATGATGAAAAGAGAGAACAATCGGTCATTTTATTTCTTAGTTTTTAGTCTTCGATTATACTTAGAAGGTAGGCTTGATTTTTCGAAACCTTTGAAGACCCCCGAGGTCTTTTCAGGATTCTCCCCATTTTTTTATGTTCGGGATTTTTAAAACTTTTGGGATTTTGGGAACTTGTTCAGATTACTTTTGTATTCAGTATTTAGGGAAGCCAACAAAATATTTTGATACTTAGTATTTAGTTCCGTTAAAATAGCTAAATATATACAGTGGCGAGAAAAACAAATAGGTAAGCGAACTTTTAACAAGTTTTAGCAAATTTATATTATATATTTTTTATTTTATTTTTTATGAAAAAATAGCTGAGTATTTAACAAAAACCATGCAGTTCCGAATTTATAGCTCTGTACATAAACTATGAAGATTTAAGAAATTTTCATCAAAGCTTCATGATCAGATTTTTTATAAAAAATTTGGTATGCAATTTTTTAGCACATTCAATTTTAGTATAGTCAAGTACAGCTTTTAAATAGGTAGGATTTATCTACTATTCATTTTTGGTATTTGTTTTTGTTGAAGGTGCTACGCATTTTCTTCCATGCAAAGTATTTTCGAAAATTTTTTTATATAGATGGAAATGCACAACACAGGCAGCAAGTAAAATTGCCAAAAATCAACAGTAAGTCCCAGCTACTTCAAACTTGCACTTTTAAATACTTAAATTTAATGTGCTACTGCTTAATAAAAAACTTGAAAATTTTTATGAAACAAGTAATTTTTAAACAAAAAACAAAACCGACTTCGATTCTCATATAAAAATTTAAGATTATCGTTGATTTCTTCATGATTCGATGATCGGTTAACGTGGTCCAAAGTTATGTGGTTACATACATAAAAACAACAAAAAAAATATAAAAATTCCGACGAATTGATAGCCGTTCTTCTTTTTGTGAAGTCAGTTAAAAATACTAAAAATTACATAAAAAACGAAAAACACCTAAAACTTGTTTAAATGTTGCTTCCCTATTTGTTTGTCCGCCGATGTGGGATAGGGCCATAATTGTATAGTATTAACATCACACTCGGTATTCAGTAACAGCCATCTCTGTTTTGTATTTTTTTGGAGTTATAAATAATTTATTTATTATTGATTAGGTTGATTTCTGTACAAAAGACTAACTTAGATCGTAAATAGCTACCGGTTAAGCAAAACAATTTGAAATAAAACCACCAAATCAAATCAAAGGCCTCAGAGCTGCCACTTTGAACGTTAAGTAAATATTTACACTCGCAAACAAGGAAAGTCTACAAAAATTGCGATAAATGGTTGCCTTGCACATTATTGAACAATTAGCGGATTCCCAAGNTTTTTTCAGTCTTTCATTTCTTGCTGCCGTAAACAATCTTCCGAAAAGGGAGAAAACGGAGACATGACCAACATATTTAGGGAGATTATTTGCCGGCAAATCTATGGAAAGTTTGAATAACAGCTCTATTCTGTATCAGTGACAAATTCTTGTCACAGTTTTTTTTTTTTACGGAAAAATATCACCGATACAAAATTGGGCTATAAAAATGATATATTAATGAAACTTTCAAAATTCATAACTCACTCACTTTTATGATAAAAGTAAGCGGCGTAAAATCTTAATTGCGATAAATGGTTGCCTTGCACATTATTGAACAATTAGCGGATTCCCAAGGCATGTTAGGCGTCATAATCTTGTCCTTAAATTTTTTTTGTAAAATAACGATTAAAATGGTTTTATTGGGAACTAAATATATATATTCTATTACTTTATAAACATTTCCGTGTAAATAGAAATCCTCTAAAACCATTTTAATTATTATTTTACAAAAAAAATTTAAGGTCAAGATTATGACGCCTAACATGCCTTGGGAATCCGCTAATTGTTCAATAATGTGCAAGGTAACCATTTATCGCAATTAAGATTTTACGCCGCTTACTTTTATCATAAAAGTGAGTGAGTTATGAATTTTGAAAGTTTCATTAATATATCATTTTTATAGCCCAATTTTGTATCGGTGATATTTTTCCGTAAAAAAAAAAAACTGTGACAAGAATTTGTCACTGATACAGAATAGAGCTGTTATTCAAACTTTCCATAGATTTGCCGGCAAATAATCTCCCTAAATATGTTGGTCATGTCTCCGTTTTCTCCCTTTTCGGAAGATTGTTTACGGCAGCAAGAAATGAAAGATTGAAAAAAGTTCGGATTCAGAATAGAAATAATTAAGAATTGGGCTTAAAATTGTATCAAACGGTTAATTCCGAGTTGTCTTGTAGGTGAGGCATACATTTAGGCATTGTAATTCTAAATTCAATATTTAGACAAAGAAAAAAAAAATAAAACTCGAATGTAAAATTATTGGGGCTGACCTTAGGTCTTAACTGCAGTTAAGCTTTATTTTATTTGTTTCTAATTCGTGTTCTTAAAAATGGCTGAACTCATAGCATAAGATAGAATAAATAATGTTGAAACAACACGACAGGTATTTTGGCAAAACAATAGCTTCCACATCTCTTCGTAGGTATTTTCAAACTTTTCATAAGCAAAAATACTACCTCACTCAGTCTAATTAATTGAAGGCCCACGCAACGTAAAATAAATATAAAAGCGCGAGTAGGTGTTAGGTGACGTTAGCAAATCACCATATCACCAACGGCGGGGGTACGAACTTGTTTTCCTCATAGAAATATACAAAAATTTATTTTAGGAATATGAAACACAAAAGCTTTCAAAATGAATATTCATACAAAAGGTTTCACAATCGCATGGCACTTGGATGCTATTTATTGCTGGTATTTTTGTACATGATGTTTAACTAAATAAATTTCGAGCGTTGCATTGCTATTTTGCAGCACTACGCTTTTGGCGAGTTTAAATTAAAATTAAAAATTTCGAAATATGCATTCTAAGTAGTTCGAAAAATTCGGAATAAAATGCAAATATATACAGTAATAACTAAGCAAGCAGATGGAAACCTTAAACTTCAACTTATTTAAATTTCTGTTGCACCTTTGATTCTTTATATTGACAATATTATATATGTATAATAAAAGTATGTATGTCAATATAAACATCGCTGGTTTACAAGAGACGAACAAATCAGGTGTAGTTACCTAAAATTTAAAGAACTTATTTAACACCAACCAAAATTTTTCAAATTCTTATAATATTCGTTTTTCATTGGCATCATTTACTCTGAATTTTCTTTCTTGATGTGATATGTACATATGCATGTATATTTCACGCAACATCTGTTAGGAATTAAAAACAGGAAACTCATAATTTGTTTATAAGAACCACAAATATGTATGCATGTATGCATATATGTTCAGATGTGTGGCATGTGCAGTACATAAACTTGTGCCAATTTACTAAACATTGCCTGGTTTACTAGTAAGAAACAACAATGCTACGGCACAGTTAGTACGTTAGACACCGCACGATCGCTACAAGGACGTACATAGCTATTTGCACTATAGGAATTTTCATATAATAAAATACTTACACATACAAACATTTTCACAGCAAAATCACATACATACTTATGTATACAAAAGAGGTTCTCTTCTTAAAAAATAGCAACATCTTCCAGTCAAATATTGTTGCTATGCTCCACAATCAATTGAAATTGGATATGACCGCGACTTTTTTATTCTCTCCACCAACACCAATACCACCAATACCAATACCACCACCACCACCACCGCCACCGGCGCCACAACCTGCTTACCCAATACTACAATTTCAGTGTTACTGTTTTCCTCTTTCTCTAACACACTGTGCTGTCAACAGATTAAGAGCAAATTAGTGGGTGTATGCGTCAATTGCATTTGCTATCGCCAGCATTACTATTTTCCCATACATAATTTTACTAATACATATGTACGTGTGTAAGCTCACAAATACATGCTCCAAAATAAATTCATATTTTCACACACACACTCACTCACTCACTCACTCCCACTTGCCTACCAAAACGCTTTGTGCTTGATCGCTTTTATGAGTGAATGATCTAGCAACAGACACGGCGTATACGTTACCTCCACCTCCACCTCCATTCGGCCACTCGATCGCTCGCTTCGTCAGTTCATTCGTTTTCCTTTCTATAGCAGCCGGCCAGCGTCCATATACGGCGTGCTAATAAAGTATTCGAGAGAAGAGCTGTTTTGCTGCTTCTCCACTTGGTTGGATATGATTATAAATGATGCGTGGAAAATTTGCGTTTGGAACGCACTACATTCGCATGGTATGGGAGCATATGTTTCCTTAGGTGTACTCATTCATATACACAGCCGTATGTGTGTATTTGAATGTGTTTTATTTTGAACTAATTAATGAAACAGCTGGTTTTTATCTCTTTAATTTTATCTTGTACATAAACGTAAAAAATAGCAAAGCTGCTGCGCCCTTATTATCCACGACCTGGACTTTGTTCTGTCATTGAACCATTATTTTAATTCGCAGTTTTTGAACAACGATGCATTAAGAATATGTCGAAATTATTACTTTTTTCATCATGTTTTTCTGTATGGAACAAAATATCCGTTAAATGCCCACCATTACTACTCTTGTAACACAGGATGAGCTTATCAAATATTTTCCATAACTTTTTCGCTACTTCGGGCTGTATTTACATATATAATTTATAACCTGCATGATTTCGTTCTTCAGCTCTGAAATCGTCTGGGGCCTTATTGTCATAGACCATACTTTTCACGTAGCCCCAGAAAAAAAAGTCCAATACTGTATTTAACATCGTTTTTTTTATGAAACCACATATTGTCTCGGTCCATGTCATCTAATTCAGGCCATAAAAATTTTGGGTTACCCCAATGACATCGCCAGCCAAAAAACCACTCCAAACAGTGACCCATTGTGGCTGAATAACATTTTCTTCGATGACATGTGGATTTTCAATACACCGAATGCGGCAGTTTTGAAACCGTCAAATCGTAGGTGAAAATGTGCCTAATCGCTAGTGGTAATATTTCTTGAAAGTTTATCGAAAACATCGATGGTTTTGTAATCACTATCGATAGCTTTCACTCATACATACATTATTCAGTAATATACATATTTCAGATGCTGCTTGAAGCCAGAAATCGTTGATAAACTTTCGTTCCTTAACAAAAATATCGACATATTTTAGCAATTCTGATCCCAATTTCAACAAAAGTTGTTATGTTAAATTTTTGGACTTTTTTTTTTTTTTTTTGTTGAAACCTGATGAGTGATGACTCAGCAACGATGCAGGGCTAGTAACAGATGACTTAACGTATATGTTTTTATATGTATGCCACTGAGTTATTAACAGACCGTTATGAAAGTATCACAAAACGTTTGGATCACTTAAACGGGTTGTTTAACTGAATATCGTTCCATGACTTAGTTTGCCAAAGCTTGTAGTAGATACCAAAAAAAAATAAACAAAAATTAAATTGAAAGATAATTGCTCTCAAAGATCTGCATCATCCTATAAATCTGAAACTCATATTCAATTCATTGCTGAGCTACTCGAAGGATTCAGACCAGTAAAATATTCCCAAAGAGTTACGAAATTTATTCTTTTGGTACTTAAGTGCGTTTTTTGCAGACTATCCCAGAAGCACTTGCCGCTTAAAATCGAATATCTCAAACTTCGATTCATCAGACTAAAGACCTTGCACACACCCATTGCTGTGCAGTTCATGAATTTTTTATGCCAAACTTATATTTTCTTTCTTCTGAAAGGAATCTCTGGTGATATTAGCTATTCAATGTGCCTCGGCATGGTTCGATATCTTAAGCTCAGGCGAACTTTTGAGAATTTTTATACGCTCAAAGAGTTAAAAAGTTAGCACTAGTTGGTGCTGGCTTATTTTAAGTTAGTCAACTTTGTTATTTATAAAAAAAATTAAATGAGTTCCTTTACAAATTTTGTAATCATACTATTGAGAGAAATAAGCGAATAAAGCTTATATTTTAAAGGTGCACAAGGACTTCTTAGCCACCACGAAAGCTTAAAACAAATAGTATATTAACGCTGTTCATTTCCGGTCCCGATGAAGATATTTTTGTACAGCAAACGGTTTCGACGCCGTTTGTATCTAAGTGTATAGAACTGTGGCTTTCATTTATTGAGCTCATGGTTCAAAGCCCGGCACATAAAAGATCGAATGACTGATCAGTTTTTTTTTCAGCGTTGAACCCTTGGCTTCTCGGAAAAACCATCGGCGTAGGGCATGTAAGAAATGTGTTGAAACTCTATCAAACGCCTGAATAGCTTCTACGAACTGGGAGCCAATTCTCATTCCGTACTTTACATAAAATGAAAATCGAGCTCAAAAAGAAAAAGATAAAATGAAGATTTTGCTTTAATATTTTTATATTAAAATAATATATATTATATTATATTTGGTTTATAATATATTATGTTTATTATTTTCTTCAAGTGACATTAATTTATCAAAGCCATACATAGTTGTTAGATCTTCACAAAGAAAATGTTTATTTCAAAATCGTCAATTAAATCATTTTTCTTTCACTACGTTACGGAATAGCCATTTTAGTCGGGAATGAGCTAATTTCATATTCAAGCTTGTAATATGTGTATATATGTACATTTAAAAATAATAACTTATATGCTAGTTGAAATAGTTGTAAAATGTTAACATATATTTAATTTGTATACTTTCAGTTAATAAATCCAAAAACACAAATCCAAAATGGCTGATGATGAGGTGAGGTAAGTATCGCTCAAACCGAAATCCTTACACTTTATTCGTAGATCAGAGACTAACGTTCATTCTCTTCTCTAATTTGCAGTAAATATGCGTATTTTAAATGATAATTTGGGCGTTGACATGTGGACACATCGAAGGTGAATATTTAAATTTTCTTACACTTTATTCGCTTGGCTCATACAATTTGCTATTTTTTATAAGCTGCTACTCTCCCCTTTGCTTTTAGCGAACACTTTGGCTAAACAATGACTAATAAAAAAACTACAGAAAAATATAGATGAAACGCTACAAAAAACTCATGATGAAATAAACTCGTTACTAGTAATCTTTAATGCTACGCCTAATATTTACTCTGCGCTTTACACGCTATTTTGCCACAATAAATCACAAACCAATTTTATTTACTTAATCACTAATATTTCTTATCTTCTTTTCGCAAATTTTAGAAGAAAGCAGCTGCACCTGCACCGGCTCCAGCAGCAAAACCAGCACCAGCACCCGCCGCCGCCGCCGCTGCACCCGCACCAGCGGCAGCAGCAGCAAAACCAGCCGCCCCAGCTGCCGGAGCTGCTCCAGCGGCAGCACCAGCCGCAGGCGCTAAAGCAGCTGCGCCAGCAGCCCCAGCTAAACCACTAGATCCCAAGGATGAGGTACTCAACTGCGTGTAATCTGGCGAATGTGTGCCGAAATGTCTTACAAGTGTTTGATGTCCCTTGCTGTGGTTTACGTTTGCAGATCTGTCGTGCCATCGTTAAGTGTCAACACGCCGCACATTCGATGTTCTATGTTTAAAGTGCAATGTTGCTGCTGTCTCAAACGATGTGTTCCTATGTCTACATACATATGTGTCATGTCAACCTTTGAATGTTTCTTGGATATGTGTGTTGCATTGGCGCTGGACTAATTACTGACTTTTCGATTGGAATTTTTACAGGCAAAGAAGGCTAAACAGGCCGAGATTGAACGCAAGCGTGCTGAAGTGCGCAAGCGTATGGAGGAAGCCTCCAAGGCTAAGAAGGCCAAGAAGGGTTTCATGACCCCAGAAAGGAAGAAGAAGCTTAGGGTATGGAAGAAAATTATTGAAAAGTTTGTTAGCAGAAAATTTTTAATAATTTATTACCATCTTTCTTTGCGCAGTTGTTGCTCCGTAAAAAAGCCGCTGAAGAGCTGAAGAAAGAACAAGAACGCAAAGCCGCTGAACGTAGACGCATCATTGAAGAACGTTGCGGTAGCCCGAGAAATCTCAGCGACGCCAGCGAAGGTAAGATTTCTGATTTCGTTTCTAATGATTGTTTTACATACAAATGAAATTGAAAAATTAAGGAAGTAGTAGATTTTCAGATTAAACATCAAGTTTTAGAGAAAATTAAAAGAAATCATTAAAAAAAAGTATGAAAAAATTAGCAAAAATTAGCAAATCAGCACATTTAATCACATTTTTTATTAAAAAAAAAGAAAAATCCAAACACAAACATATGTACACACTCACACCCGTACACACAAAAAAAAACACTCATGCACACATTTTACTGGCCTGTAACGAAAATTTTGTAACTTTACTCCTCAATTAGATTAGATTGAAACTACAAATAGTTTTTTTTTTAATAATTTTTTCCTAAAAAATGCTCATTTTTTTCAAAATAGTTTAGTAGCCCGTCAGTTAATTTTGATAACCATATTTTTAAGATTTTTGGTTTATTCATATTTTATTTTTATTTTTATTATACATATTTACGTACCTTATTTGTTTTAAGCAACAAGACAAAACAAAACAAAAAAAAAACCAAAAACAAACCCAGACAAACATTGTGAAATTGTGTTGATTTTTGTTATAAACGCAATTCTTTCACTTCCACTTATCTGCAGAAACACTTAAAAATATAATCAAGCAACACTATGACAGGATTAATAAATTGGAGGACCAGAAATATGACCTTGAGTATGTTGTTAAACGCAAGGATGTTGAGGTACACACAAAACAAACGAACACTTTGATTTTCTTTCTACTTGAAAAAAATCAGCAAGCACACACAAAAACTATTTAAAGCACTTAACTGCGCTAAACCAAAATTTTTGAAAAAAAAAAACAATCTTTCTCGCCAAAAACTACTGAAAAACTAAATACGTGCGTTCACAGCAATTTAAAGCAGTTTATTTTTTCGCACGCAACAACACACACTCCGCTCCTGTCACCAGTTATGGGCTGAGCTTGTAAAGCGGCAGCACAAATTTCCCCTGAAAAATGGTTACAAATTTCATTATTTTCATTTTTGCCTAGTTTAGTACATAGTTAGCTATCGCTTACAAAATCAGCACCTCTGGCCGTGGAGCGGGGTATTTGCAATGCTGCTGTTAATACGTTTTGTCTAAAGCAAAAAACAACAACAACACTCAAAACGATATTACGTAAAAACACTAAACCAATGCTTTTGAAGACTTAAAATTTTAATACAACACTTTCTCTATCTCTTTCTTGCGCTCTTTACTTTACTATTTTAAAATTTTTTTTTTCACACTCACATATAAATAATTTATTTTTAAACTCAACACACTTACAAAAGTTTTTAATTATCACGTTTTTTTATTGCACACATATTCTTTCAAAGTCACTTCTAATATTTATTTGTGTATATAAATATTAAAATATTAAATTTGTTATTTTACAAATTTACTACACCTTTTTAAATGCGTTTTCAAACTGCACTCACTCACCTGAGTTCAAATAACTTGCAACAACAACGATAACGATACATTAGCTAAAAATAAAAGAAATTTTTGTTACACAAAATTATTTAAGACTTATAAAAGAATAGGATAAACTATTCCCACCTATTTTTAAATATTTAAGTAGCTGCTGAATCGTCCTTTAAAATGTACATAGATATGAGCAACGATAAAAGCAGTGGTAGAAGGGTGGGAGCTGTTATCCCTTCGAGTGCCATCATTTGATCAGTTTTGCTAGGTTGTGTAACTAAGTATCTGTGGAAGCTAATCACCGATGTTACTTTTTGTTGTCTACAGTATGCTGTTTGGTCCTAATCCTAAATCAAATTTATTGTCTAAAAAAAATACAATCGCGGGCATTAAAATCCGGATTTCTAAAAGTAATAGTTTTTTTTTAAATAATAATATTAATTGTACTTTTTGCTGCGACATACAGAGTTCTATAATAGTTCGCCCCAACCTTAGGCTATTTACAACATCTTTGACAAGCTTAAAATGCCTTAGTAGCTTTGTTGATATTAGCTATTAGATCTAAATTCCCGCTGAGAATTTTGTCCATGGTTTTTCCAAAATGCTTCGCTTCTTGCGGCAACTCAATCTCCGTCCCTCTCGAGAGTGTGTTTAGTCAAATTTCCTTACCTTCTTTTGGTAAGGGGGAGAATTTTGGAGAATTTCCGTCAATTACGTAGATGGAAAATCATTTGCATAGCCAGAAGCGCTGAATGCGTTTTATTTTAAGCTTTCCAGAAGCTCATCAACAACCAGTATTCATATGTATGTAGTAAAAAAGATTGAATGCTGCAGAAATGACGCAAATGAAGGCAAGTAATAATTATCGGTCCAATTAGGTGTACTCTTACTCACCGTAGGCGATTTTTGAGAATTTGTTTTTGACAAATATGGCTTTCTAGCATCTTGCCAAGCATCAAAACTAGTATCTCGAAGCCTTGGATGTACAATTTTCTCAGTAAATTCGATGCCAACGTAAAAATAAATACTTTCTAATATCCTCAGCAGTTCTAGAGCGATTCTGTTGTATTGGACCCATTTAGCCGATTCCTGGGCTTGGTTTAGTTCCCTTCTAAGAGATTTCACTATCTCATTATCACAAAAATTCCATTGGCAGACATGCTGAGTGCAATGCTTCCACTAAACTACCGATAGTCAATTTTTCTATTTCCCAGACTGCCAGAAACGGTTGAATTTTACCTGCATCCCAACTATTTGTTCGGATTTCAATGTCGGCAACGGCATACACAAACAGTAGATAGAAATGTTCTTAAACCTCTGAACATAAACATGTTAATGTACTATGGTTCCTGTAATTAAAAAGTTGGTCCTTAATAGATTTCAATAATCAAAATTGCATATACATATGTATGTATTTTATTTTAATTTTTTTCTTGATTTTTTATTTATGAAATTTTATAGTATACATATCTACTTAATATCTAAAATAAAAAATAGACACATTCTTACTAGCAGTTATTTTATTTAAATATTCGTTACACTCAGTTCAACACACACCCACTCATTACACACGATCCCCAAATTATATTTTTGTAATAGTTAAAGCAACTGAAATACATATGTATGTAGAAAAGAAAATGATTTTTCAAAGGTTCAACCTCTTCCTATATCTTCCACTCGATCCTCATCCATTGCAACCATATACACACAAACATATACATATACATACATGCGAGCGCATACAGAATTCGTCCCCAGCACAGATGGCGCAATCACCAAAAGAACACACACAAAAAAAAAGACGTTCCGTATTAACCGTTTTTTTTTTCACTTTTTAATTGCACTTTCTGCCCGCAGAAACACTAAAGAAAGTTGTACAGGATTATTACAATAAAATACTCAAATTGGAGGATCAGAAATATGACGTTGAGTATCAGGTTGCCAAAAAGGAATTAGAGGCAAGAAATAATTAAATGAATTTTATATTCGAAAAAAATTTATTTTTTTTTCATTCTTATATTTTTACGAAACTACCTTTTTGTACTGATTGAGAGTTTCTTTTTTGCGCTTATAAAGTATTATATAATTTTTGGTGTTATTTTGTTTTGACATTCTAAAAATCAAAACTCATTTTGACTGTAGTTAGTTGGAATTTTATTGGTAATATAGAGATTATTTAGTTGAAAGTACGCTACACGTACATAATAGTTATTAAAAAGTAGTTAATGAAGAAACCTTTTAGGGCCAGGCTTCAAAGTTGACGACACTCGAACATTTTTTTTTAACTATTTTTATGGTTGTTTTGTAGTTTTGTGTTTTTTGTCGTTTCCTTTTTTTCTGTCCTTTAAACGAACTTTCAATATATAATAATAAAAGTAAAACAATAAAAAAAGAGAACCGAACCCCTCTATACTGGAAAAGGTTTTCGTTGTTGGTGCTCCACTTGTATAGTATTAAATACTTCTTGGTATAAGAATACGTATCGTAATCGGATATTTGAATTCAAAATTAAAATTTTACCTAATATAATTGCTAATTTTTAACCTTTTTGCGTTTGGTAATCGCATTTTTTTTTTTTTTGCTCTTTGAAGTACTTAAAAATTTTTGCATTGAAAATCTGTATATAAAAAGTCTCTATACTTTCACTTTTGTATTTTGAAGTTAAAGTACTCTTACTCATATTGGAAGTGTATCTAACCAAGTAGTTAGCAAACGTTTTCTAATTTTTTAAATATTTTATTTTTTTTTTATATATTTTACATAAAAAAATTACAAGTAGTTGCGTATGTAGTTGAAAGCTTAATTTTGTCTTCGTTTTGTAAGCAATCTAGACTCACGGTTTTTGTGCTAATTGCGATCAGCAGATTTTTTATTTTTGATTTGCAAACTTTTTTTTGGAAGATCTGCTTACCGCTCTTGGCTTTTTTGTTTCAACGCACGCCAACTGCTTGTCCACTTTTTTTTTGTCTATTAACCATTCCAATCATCATCCCTGTATAAGCCAGTGCCTAATTTGAGCAATAACAATTCTTCTGGCATCACTTAATTTTGTAACCCTTTTGCTAACACCATTTAGTCCTGAACGTCTTTTCGAACGTTTCATCCTTGCTCTTGATTTTTGCAAGCCAATCTACTTACATAACTTGTCAATATCTTCTTAACAAAAAAATAAAAATAAATAAAAAATTATATTTGTACAAATACCTACTGTAGAAGCTGAGTATTTTGTTTTTTTTTGACGCAGCTTTTACTAAATCAACTTTTGCGTGTATAGTAACCGTTTATCACGTCATATTCATATTACCCTTTCTTATCCGAGAAATCTTCACAACACAAATTTTTTTCTTTAAGGATTTCTCATTTTTTTTCGCTGTTAAGGTTAGTATACAGTTCTATAGAAAAACGAAAATTTCACATAAAAGGACGTTCAAGAAATGGAATAGAAATTTTCTTCTATCTAAATTTCTTAAATCAATTTACAGCTCTCAATAAATAAATGCTCGTGATAGTGAAATAAATTTCTTCAGATTTTTCTTAAGAACTGTATACTAAGCTATAACACATTGATTGTATCTCGAAGTAAAAATTAACAAATACAGCGTATAGAAATCATTAAAGAAAGCAATCACTTTTTCATGTACCACTACATGCATAATTTATTTTTGATTCAACTACATGCATTTATTTTAAGACGTGTATTTCAAAATGGAATTTCAACAAATGTATCATAAAAAATTTAATTTCGTCTTTAGAACAGACGGTGTTGTTTTTATGTTTCCCCAAAGCCATGTTTTAACGGTGAAATTTTGAGAAGAGGATCTCCTTTAACATCCTATGCTATTTTTTTCCAAGAGTATTTAGGTTGTGGCTTAAATATGTAGGTATTGCGATTAGGGTCGCTTAAGTTGCCAGTGGACGCCTGATATCAGCCTTAAATAGCAGTCCAATAAGAGTCGAAATTAGGCAATTTGGAGATCTTTTGCATGCCGGGTGAGCTCTTTTTACATATGTACACAAAGCTGTAGGATTAGGCTTCCTCTTTTTGATCAAAAAATTTGTTATTTTTTCGATACTCCATAACTTTTATTTTTTCAAGACAGGGATTAAAAAGACCCGTTCCGATACATAGGAGTTAATCGATGGAAATTTCGCGCATGCACGTTTTTTGTTAATTTTTTTATACAGAGGTCTCCTAATGCAAGAAATTTCTTCAAATAATTGGATTTTTTTAATGAAAAAATTACACTTTTTCCCACATTAAAAATGTGATAAG